TAAACAATTTTTATGTAAGAAAGCCTATTACAGGATAGACGAATTCATAGATGACAACATATCAAGTAAATAATTAGTTTATTAGCATACAACGTTATAATTTTTTTTTCTCATTGCTTTCTTGATTTAATTGATTAATTTTAGAAATATGAAAGCGTAGCGGTTTTTTGTATTAATTGCCGCATGCATTCTTATGTAAAATGTGAATACTATAACTATCAGATGGCAATTGTGAGTAGCTTTGACGTGGTCTAGTGTTTTGAGTAGTCATGCTCACTAAAATGTCCAGACTTGTGGCGGCGTGGTGGGCCGGGTCATTGGGCTCCCTAAAATATGGTCGAGCGCAGTGATGGCTGGCTCATCCGTCATACTCGTGAACGGGTGCTGCTTGTAGGGACTGGTCTGCTCTAATCACTATGACTGATTTCCTCTTATTAATTGTTTAACCAGTTGGTTATGTATTCAATTTTTTTTTTTTCTTTTTGAGTATTTAATTGAATTAGTGCTAATTGGTGGTTTGTATTCACACAATTAAACTTAAAAATGTAAAATAATAATAAAATTATTTAAAAGAGCATCACGCAAGTTTCTTGCTCGTTCTTCTTGTGATGAGACAGCTTTCCGAACGAGCGGTAAATTAAAAAAAATGTAATGACTTTTCAAAAGTGCTTCAATGTAAGTTTATTTGAATAAATGATTTCTATTCTATTCTATTCTATTCTATTCTATTCTTATAAAAAAGCACAGAGATCTGCGGGACGTCAGCATCAATGTCCGTGCTATTGGAGCAGCAACCTGTTTTTAACAATTAATATGAACCGAGTGTTTTCTTCTTTACAAAGTTATCAAGGTAACAAACCGAAATAGCCAGAATATTGCTCTTTGCGTTTCGCGATATCGTTGATTGTAAGTGTTCGGAAAAATAATTGGAGCTGTACAGTATTAGTTATTTCGTTACCTTCAATTTAACTATATTTATCCCGGGGGGAAAGGGATTGTTAGTAATGGAGACTGAGAATCCCATTGCTAGCAATATACCCAACCAGGTCGACCTTCTCGCGGTTCTCCTTGCAAACTATCATGGTTAATTCCTGATGAATTCATCATGATGGACTAACTGGCCTGTTTTCATTCTCATCTATCACCCTTCACTGGTGCTCCGCCAGCGTATCCCGTTAACGCAGGCGGGGCTACAATACCATTTTCACCCATCAAAAAAAAAAAGTAGTATCTTCATGTACTTGTTTACAAATCAAAAATCTCTCCCAATTTCTTCTCGCAAATGAAGTAAAGAACTAACGCTCTGAATAGTAATGAAAACGGTCAGTACCAGTAGTGAGACCAACGTAACGTTCTCTAAAATTACACCACCCACCAGTTCTGTGCGTCTAAATTTAGTTGCTGCATGAATATGTACCGTAACATTGCTATCAACAGTACGTACCTATGTGTGTTGTCTAGAAACCATACTCAATGTGACAATACTCCATTAAATTAAGAAACTAGAAAATTTGTCGTTCTTGAATTTGTACTTTTATTATCTCACAGAAATATTTTCTTTGAAAAAAAAATATTAACTTATTAAGTATAAATATGAATATGGCGAGGAAGGTTGAGCAAGCCTTAAAAAAAAAAGTATGTCAGCCTTTTCCAAAGTGGGCGATAACGCCTCTTTGTATGTGCGGCAGGCCTAAAGGGGGGCGTTGTGTAGAGGCTTGGGGGGTGATTTGTTGATCTTAAAGTAATAGTGGTTTTTAAGTAGGTGAAAAAATGTGGGCGCAAAAACATAATTTATTCTCAAAGGTACCCCTACACTATGTGAAATGTGTGGACTATGTAGCCAAAAAGGGGATTAATGCTGAAATGACTACAGTAGAGATGAATGGAAGATATTACGCCAACACCAAATAATTGAAAGAAGACCAAGAAAATAATAATGATGATGGGAATGTATTGATTTACTGCTTTATAAAGTGGCCTATGTCCTTCTTCGTGACAAATGTTATATGCAAGCCAAATTATTCTGTAATACAACTATACTCTATTCAATTCGGCGCTGATTTCATTAAAATGCCATGAACAGCTGGACATTGTGAGTTTAGCTGACACTACTCAATAATTAACCTATAATGATCATGTAGCCCATATTCTGTCTAAGACAGACATCAAGGATCAGTGTAAGTGCATGATATAAGATGTGAAAATGGATAAAGCCAAAGATGATATGTGAGGAGAGATTTCTTTTGGCACACGGTTTTTTCTGTCTTCCTCGCAATGAACTTGGCATGAAGATAGATAGAGTCACTGTCACTGCTATAGTAAACTTCCCCATACATTCTTTACATACATAGCAGTTAATCGTACTTGGAGGTAAACTTGTTGCCGTAACTTTGTGAATTGTGTTTACGTTCAGTGAAGCGTTAAAACAGTTTGACGACACAAACTTACGAATTAATGTCTTGAATCGTAGTAAGAAACCACTAACCGGTTATATAGATATCCCCATACAAATGGTAATAAAAATCTGAAATAAAACCCATTTCTTGTAACAAAAGACATTCATATGAAGTTTTATTATTAACCTTTAGACTTTCGCATTGCATAATTTGTACGACGGGAATTAAGCAATTTTTTATTTAATTAATTAATTTTTTTATTGTTATGGAAAACTATAAAGAGAATTATTATTCTTAATCTAAGAGCTATTCTTAATGTATTGTATGTATGAAGAAAGAGAGCTGATGAGATATGGACTTCAAACAGAAACACAGAAGACTAGAACTTGCTACCTTGCTAAGGATGCCTACTCTATTACCATTCTATAAAAAAATAGTAACTTTAATTAGTCTTCAAAGCATAATTCAATACTTTGGTCATATTGCTCGCAGAGATGTCAAAAATCTTAACTCCTAAAAGTAACAGGGGGTTTAGAGACCTGAATATCAGAACGATGGTCAGATCGCACAGTTATCTTTTAGTATCACTATTTACCTGGCAATTGATCGTAACAGAGACAAAATATGGTAATCAGAATCTGTAATGAGCTCTCTGCTGAGGTTTATCTCGGAGACTAAATTTCTCCAAAAAAAGCATATTAAGATTTCTTCTGAGTAGACAACGCTCACGAGATATTCCTGGTACTGCAGACATAGAGTACCTTAACCGCTTATTATCAGACGAGCTGTATATTTGTTATATCTTTATGGCATTGGAAAAAATCTAACACTAGTCACAACTCACAGTAATGAAGAATTAATTTTTTCAATGGCTGATATTGGAATGGTAACCCCGCCTGCTTTATTGGTATACGCTGGCAGAAAACCAATGAAGGAATGATTAAAAGACAGAAACATATTTTAGGGGGCCGTGCCCACCGCAAAATTTTTGGTACCCAACAGGATGCGAAAGGACCTTTAGCTATGCCTCCGAAACATAATAGAGCCATCCAAAAACCAGGAGTTAAGGTGTAGTATACTGCTAGACGTCCGGCCGACTTAACATAATCAATGTGGCATCGCGGAGACGATTAGACAAATAAAATCGCAGTAAATAACACGCCACGCGTTCTTATTGGGCGGCGCGAAGAACGCGCGCGCATCTGTTTAACGAATTACTTCGGTCCAATTCCAAACGCGTGCGTTGACGCCGTGAATCATGCAGCGAAATGCCACTATATTTCAACCCTTATCACAAAACCCATAAGGTCTATAGATAGTGTTCATAAGTTTAATTGAACTAATGTGAATTGGGAATACTTTTATATTTACGCGTGAATAAACTGTACGTACTCGGTTAAAATTGTGATAACTAATGACAATATTTGTGATGTAATATAATTTCTTACAGTGGATTTGTACATTAACTTACTTATACACCTACAGTTTAATTACACCTTTTTATGCAATATGAAAAATCAAATAGCAAAACCCAAAATAACATTGTCATTTACAATAACAATTGTCTTTAAGACATAAGAACATAAACATTTAAAGTTGGCCAGAAAAAGATCACTTTTAGCAATAAGTTTCGTCCATTGTCTTCTCTGTGTAATCTAGGGGTTTCTTATAATTTTTATTTCTTTTAAGTTACCAGTGAATTACCACAGATAGAAGTTTACTTCTATGAGAAAGAATCAAGAATATCTATCTACGCTATTGCCCAAATAGAGTATTATGCGTTGCCATTCCTGAGAAATAAGATATAATGATTTGTAATTAAGTCGAATTATAGTCGGTTTCTAGGGGAACACATGGAAAGCTATAGGCAGGACTGGCTTTAGCCTATCTGACTCCCCTAAACAGATTTATAATGATAAATAGATGGATAGATATATAATTTATTTGCATCACTTACACTATGTTAATTAACGCTAATCTCCGAAACCGGTCAAGCGATTTTAATTACATTTTGTAAAAGTGTTACTACTGTCTGCTTCTACTTGTTTCTTTATGCAACTTAGAATGGCAAACAAGCTGACGGCCCACCTGATGGAAAGTGGTAACCGTCGCCTATGAACATGAGCAGTACCGTGGACATAACAGAGTATACTGTTTCGCCCATGATACCTCCTATGCGTTGACATTCCTAAGGACTCAGGTGTTATTCCTCTGTACCCAGTACATTTAAGTAGTATTAGATATAATTATTGTGACAAATAGCTACCGCTTTTTTTCTTTCTCCTCTATCAAAAGATTGTCTAGAAGAGATTGCTTTAGCGATTAGGGGGTATCCCTATGCGTTGCCATTCCTGAGGACTCAGGTGTTATTCCTCTGTACCCTGTAAATTCACGCCATATCCCACCCTTCAAACCAAAACACAGCCATGCAAACACATCTGCTTTACGGTTGAAACACGAATGGGACAGAGGTGCCCAAGCAAACGACTTTTGTACAAAGTCTCCCTCTACAAACCCTAACAGCAAATTTTACTTTTCAATTGCAAATTTTATTCATTCAGTCACGCAGGTGGAAAATTAACGTATTCTGTCATCGTATTACAGTGGATGCCGGGCTCAGTATGGGGGCCACTGCCAACAGCTGCCCCAGGGTCCACCCAGGCTCCAACAGACGACACCAGCTCTCTGGCGGAGCAGCTGAGTGTCTTGTCGCTGCGACGGCCGCCGCGACCACCGCCTCCAGCTTACATGTGCCACTTGTGCTTCAAAAAAGGCCATTACATCGGGGACTGTCCTCAGGTAATTTTTTTTTAATATTTTTTTCCGAATCCGAAATTGTTTTTTTTTTCATTATTATCAGAATTGGATTGCAAGTTGACATGAACGGAACACGTAGGCACTTATACAATAGAATATATTAATATTATATATGGATTGCGTGCAAATATGGAGTCCATGTGGTCCTGACATAAAATAGGCCACCCCTTCCTTTCCCGTGGGTGTCGTAAGAGGTGACTAAGGGAGGGCAAAGGATGGGCAGCATCCGAGGCGATTAAGAGCAGTAGCGTCCATCTTAAAACGTCTCCAAAGCCTAACTGCGGTTACCAATACACCTGCCAAACGTGGCAACTAGTAGCAAAACCCCCCTAGGAGGAGGCTTATGTTCAGCAGTGGACAGTTAAGGGCTGATATGATGATGATGAATGTGACACAACCTTCAGAATGTTACTGCTGTCACGCAGTTGGTGTAACACAGACTCGATCCATTTTTTTATGCAACATAGAATGACAAACAAGCTGACGGCCCACGTGATGAAAAGTGATAACTGTCGCCTATAGACATGAACAGTACCATAGACATAAAAAAGTTTACTGTTTCGCCCATGATACACCAATGTGTTGCCATTCCTGAGGAGTATGGTGTTATTCCTCTGTACCCTGTAAATTCACTACCATATTTCACCCTTCAAACCGAAACACAGCCATGCAAACACTACTGCTTCAGAGTAGAAACATGAATGAGACAGAGGTGACCAAGCAAACGACTTTTGTGCAAAATCTCCCTCTGATAAGACATTTACATTTACATCTAACGGAGAAGAAAATAGCCCTTTTGTTATATGAAATTTCTTAAAAGTCACACACACTTGTTTTAGAAATCAACAAATAAATAATAGCACCGGGCAATTCCCGTATGTGTGCCTACATTTTACTAGAGCACAAACACAACGGGCGCTTTGTTGCACACATTTGATTCTTTGTTCTGTGAATACAAACAGTGTACTGATTTACCAACTATTAATTTATATAAATTATACTACATATATCTCGTCCGGTAGCCTGGCACAGTTATTGATAATAGACACTTAACAAATCCTTGCTATCTTTTGGAGGAAACAATAAAGAGTATCTATCTATCTATCTAATATCACAAATGTGAAAGTGAGTTTGTTTCTTAGCAGCTTATATCTTTTTTTCGCGCGGGCGGGGTTACCATTCCATTATCAACCATTAAAAAAAATCAGTCTCGCAAACGAAGTATAAAAGTTAATACTTCATATTAATTCAATCATTAACTGTCCACTGCTGAATGTAAGCCTTCCCCATAAGAGGAATTTTACGCACACCAGATTTGCTCATTTTCGAAGTCGGTTAAAACAACGTTCACTTCACAATCTTTAATGAGTGCAGTTTATTACATTTTACATCGCGGTCAAAGAGTTTTGTCGACCACAATCACAATACCTACGATTCTCTCACGTACGTTTATCTAATTCCGAGAATTGTTCATCTCATATATAACTGAGTCGGCGGTCAGCATTATTATATTATATATACGCAAGTTGATATTAGTGATGTGGCGAATCAACTTTTTTTTTTGGTATTCGAGTATTTTAGTTTTCATTACAAAAAATTAATCGGAACAAAACTCGAACAAGCATTCGAGCACATGTATTTATTTCTGAAATTTAGTTTGTCACTATTATTTTTTTTTTGCAGATATTAAATATTTAATCATTTTATAATTCCCCTTGTAGTTAAGATATAAGAATAAATTATTTAATTTTATGTCTTAGTTTTCATTCTTATGTTTAGGAAGAAAATTAATTAATGAATGATACAGAACATGATACAGAAACATGAAAATATACAATAAATATGTAATTATCATTTGAGTTACTCGAAATCTGTATTCAAGTAGGTATCTAGTAGGCATTCGAGTCAACTAGACTCGACCCATCACTAGTTGATATAACAAAGAATAATGTAAGCATTTTACACTGTAATATAAGCCTGTTAAAATTAAATATATCGTGTACTTTGACGACTTTCTTATCGTTTTGTTAGCTTTGCGAAGCGCTGAATTCACAGTTATTGTAATGAAATAGGTACTTATGACAAGAAAGTGTCACATTCGATTTTTATTGATGTGATCTTTCATCGATCTATTGGGCCGTTTGTAAACAATTGCAACATATTGTGTGATGATCGATTTAATCAATCGATTTAACCTATTATCGATTAAGTCGAACATCAGGAATTATTATTTGTTACACTGTGATGAAATTACTACAAAGAGTACTTTCAATGTGAAAGTTATATATATATATATATATATATATATATATATATATATATATATATATATATATATATATATATATATATATATATATATACATATATATATATGTATATATATACATATATATATATATATATATATTACTATATATAAATTTATACAATCAATATAATTCAGAAAAATACTTATTAAACCTATCGTATCATTTCATTTCTGCTCAATGTGTAATAGTTATTAGTAGATATTATAGGCAACTAGTCACAGCAATTACTAATTCCCAATTCCCATCCAAACGAATTTGTTTAGTACAACTGTCCAATTTACTACTTACAACTTACCATTCTGCTCGTACCAGGAGATAAGAGTTCTTTAGACTGCAGTAATAATATATAATTGATATTATGTTAAAACATTATTCTATGTTGCAGGCTCGACCCAAGGGCGAAGGCTTGACCCCGTACCAGGGTAAGAAGCGTTGCTTCGGCGAATACAAGTGCCCCAAGTGTAAGCGCAAATGGATGAGCGGAAACTCTTGGGCCAACAATGGACAAGAATGCATCAAATGCCGCATCAACGTGTTCCCACACAAACAGGTATAGTTTTTGTTTTTTTTTTTTTACTTTTGTTCTTCTTTTTGTTCTGTTCAGTGAACATATTCTAGTCACGTGAAAAAAACTGCAGGTTTTATGTTTTTTTATGCAACTTTTGAATGGCTAACAAACTGACAGCCCGCCTGATGGAAAGTGGTAACCGTTGCCTATACACATGAACAGTACCATGGGCATAACAGAGTATACTGTTTCACCCATGATAACCCCAGTGAAGGGTGATAGATGAGAATGAAAACAGGCCAGTTAGCCCGTCATGATGGATTCATCAGGAATTAACCATGATAGTTTCCAGGAGAAACCGCGAAGAGGTCGACCTGGTTGGGTATATTGCTAGCAATGGGATTCTCAGTCTCCATTACTAACAATTCCTTCCCCCCTACCCCCCCGTTGTGGAGATTAATCGTGAATATCTTGTGTCTGAAATCGAGAGCACTCTTACTGGAGTTACTTACTCTTACTAAATCTACCAATTGGGGACGACTAAACTTATTCCAATTTAACATACAAGACATACATCTAAGATACAACCATGTAGCTCCACAGTTTTGGAATACAGGGGTTTTACGATTTTTTTTATTATACAACTTAGAATGGCAAACAAGCTGACGGCCCACCTGATGGAAAGTGGTAACCGTCGCCTATAGACATGAACAGTACTATGGACATAACAGAGTATACTGTTTCGCCCATGATACCCCTCATGCGTTGCCATTCCTGAGGACTTAGGTGTTATTCCTCCGTACCCAGTAAACTTCTGAAATCCACGCGTACCAAATAAGGAGTAGCGGGCAATAAACTAGTTTTTTTTGTAATGGATGATAACAGAATCTCTAACAACTCCGCTACGCTAACAGTATACGATGGAAGGACACCAGTGAGGGATGATAGGTGAGAATGAAAAGGCAGGTCAGTTAGCCCACCGTGGTGAATACACCTGGGATTCAACATGATGGTTTCCAGGGGTATCACGTGGAGGTCGAATGAACAGGGTATATAGCAATGGGACTAGTAGTCCATATTACTAACAATCCCCCCTCCCCAAAGCTAGTTTATAATATTAGTAAGAATGTAATTAATTGCCATATCTCGATATGAATGTTCTATTTTTTCGAAACGTTAATATATATTTTTTTTTATTACAGCGACCGCTGGAGAAACCTGACGGCTTGGACGTGAGTGACCAGTCCAAGATTCACCCCCAGCACCTGTGTCAAAAATGCCGTTCGCTCGGGTACTACTGCCGTCGCGAGTACTAAACGCTATTTCGACTGTTAACCGCCAATTTCTCTTAACTAACACGTAAGAAATTTTACAGGAGACAAAAATATTCCTATTTCTGAATTTATTCTAAATTCTCCAAATCATAAGAAGAATTTATACCTACTTAAAAGGCAGGCATAGACTCCCATAGAGATGTTAGTGTCTATGGGCTGCAGTAATTACTTGACATCGGACGTACAGCATGTTCTTTTGTTGCCCTTTAACATAAAAAAAAATATGATGAAACAAAAAAAAACCTAAGTACATAGTCGATTTGAAAATAAATTCTCAGTATATTAAATTGTGAAATTATTTCTCAATGTAACATAGAAAGGCAGAAATGTACGTTAAAAAAATGGCAGTTAGGCGGTATTGGCGGTTTAACGTCGAATTGTTCATACATATGGCCATACAAGATTTAATGACTACGTCAAATGCTGTTGTAAGGTAAGCAACTTGTACTACGTTACTACAATAATAATAAGGAATTTATGTAGAATTCTCATGGCACTCGTAGGTAATATTTCATATGGTGCAGTTATTTTCTGTTACTCTCTTGAAAAAAGAAAAAAAAATTTAATTCAACAGTGTAGATTAGAGTTGTATTATATCCACAGAAAAAAAAACAACAACTGATAAATCTACAAAAAAAAAAAATAGAAGAAAGAGACTATATTAAACTTCTTCTTAATGAGTACCTCTGTTCCACGCATATTTCTGGCATGGAGCAACTGTGCATAGTGTTAGTTTAAAAGGGTGCAGGATGGAATACGCTGGTAACATGACTATAAAATTTTAAATTTTCTTTTTTATTATTAAGTAAATGTAAGTACTTCGAAGTCGAATTTTTATTGTCTTTAATAGACATACACACATATGTTATCATAGATTTAAGTTTAAATAGTTAATTAAGATATTGAAATATGTATATTTCGAAGTTTATCTTTTGAAAAATTTTATTGTGTTTTTACTATTTGGGTAGTATAAGTTGATTTTTACTCTATACCTTATAACTAATTATTGATATAATGTACTCCAAATGGCATTACAGTTACTTATGATGTTTTATATGTATATTTAGATATGACTACGTAATGTTCTAGGTTTTAGGTGCTTGTGGTCAAAGTATAAAACGCTATATATTGTAAGTTTTAGCCATTATAATTCATGATCATTTCGTTTAATTTTTACTAACGTACTTAACCAAATTATTTCTTATAATAATTTTCGGCATATTTGTAAATTAATTCCATTTTAATAACTATTACAAATATTGTATCAATTAATAACATTATGTTCTGCGCCATCTATTGGTGGCAGTAGACTATTGAAATTATTAGATAGTAAATATCACACAGGCCAAACTAGCGTGATGGTAACGATGCCAGTATAAAGATGTCGCTACAACATTTGATTTTTTAATAGATAAAAAATACAAAAATATATTATTTATATTTATTAATTATATAAATCATATTTATCATTATTAAATATATCTTTATGAGCTTTATTATTATGATTATGTGCTTGTGAAATGCCTTGCATGACTTAATACATTCTGCACTTTTAAACTGAACTGAAAAACAATTTTCATATTTTGTAATTGCATGTTCAATTCGAGATATTAAGTTAAATAGGAATATTCTTATTGGATGATAATGGAATGGTAATCCCGCCTGCGCTATCGGTATACGCTGGCGGGGCATCAGTAATTGGTAATAGTTGAGGATGAAACCAGGTCGATTGAGATTTGAGAAGGATTAATTATGGTGGTTTCCAAGGGAACCGCGTGGGGGTCGACCTGACAGGGTATATTGCTAGTAATGGAGATCAATGTCTCCATTACTAACAATCCCTCTCTCGTCAGATAAGAATGTTACTTGTTAATAGGAATGTTTCCTATCTAACTGCCTAAGTCATAAAATCATACTACCTAATTTGAATTAAATTAGGGCAGAGGTAGTTTTAGCATTGAAAATAAAACACTAACATACAGACAAGATATTTAAATACACATAATTTTATTTGGCTATCATATGTATTCATTAGCTTTATAATTAAATACATTTTTTTTATTTTGTTTTCTTTTTATTATTAAGTAAATATTAGTTTTAAAATTCATTTATATTCAATATTTAGTTTTAATTACTTATAATTGGGTATTTAATATAATTGCTGGACATCGGATAATACTCGAGTATTATTTAATTTGATGTCCTTTACGTACATTTATTACTTAATTATAACTTTGTCTAATCAAATTTTTAATGTACTATAAGCTGCTATTTGCTTTTTTTAAATGGTTTTATATCCGCTTGCGCAATTGGTATTTATAAGCGAAAATGAAATATTAACCTCGCCTGTATGTACTGGTGAATCCATCAGTGAAAGATGAAGATGTAAGTTAGAATGGATGTAGGTTAGGAATGAACCATGTTGGTTTCCAGGGGGAACCTCGTGGAGGTATATTGCAAGCAATAGGGCTATTAGACCCCGATACTAATAACCCCCCTCCCCCCAGCCCCCAATATGTTGTACGACCTCTATAGCAAAACCAGTAAAGGTGCCTGCCAAAAATACTAAAGACATCTTCACATAACATTCATTTTATTACAAGTATGTACAATTAAAGGCGAATAAATAGATAAATACAGCGTTTGACTTTTTTGTAAAACTCTTTTGTTTTTTAACACTTTATACCACAAATGTGGCAAACAAGAATACAGCCCATCTGATAGTAAGCGGTCACTGTAGCCTGTAATGCCACGTGCATGCTGTCGACCCTTAGGAAATCTTAATACACCCTTTATAAAGAACCCCGTACTGTAGTCTCTGGGGGCAACCTTGGCATGCTCATCTACAGCCTGAGCGTCCTTAAAAAACATAATTCATTTGTGGACTAAACTAATATAATATTAAAAAAACATAACATATTATTTAATTCAGTTCTTTTAATCATGTATACTAATAAATATAATTCCAAAGAACCAGTGAATTCTCAATGTGCCAAAAAAATAATTAATCGTTGTTAAATGTAATTCGATATTTAAGTTTATTATTTTTATATTCGTAACACAATATACGTACGTGCCATTATATAAAAAAATATGTTTTTTTTTTCTTTTATTAGATTTATATCTTTTGTTTCATGACATGTTTTGTTTATATGTTTTTATAAATTTTAAGATAACATTATAATTTTAAACCGTCAATACACACATTTATTTTACTCGTTATATATTAACTTAATTATAGTTAAATAACATTTTTCATAACATTATTACGTAAAATGTCTTAAACATATATATAGAGACTTAATTTAGTTAACGGTTTTTTTTTTCTTTTAAAACCACAATTAAAAACTAGCCGTCAACGTACTGGCTGGTTATAAACCTATTTTTATTCTTTTTTTTAACTTTTTTATGAAGATTCCGGTTTATATTTTTGTGTACGTGTTGACGTTTTAAAATCATACCATTTTCATGTAATTATTATAACGTCTTGTACCTAGTTTATAAACAAAAAAAAATTAGTTTAAGAAAATTGTCGCTGAATCGACGGTGCTTGTGTATAGGTGTGAACATGGCTTAAGTCTGATTGCGTTCCATAAGTTATAATGTTAAACTAATTTAAATATGTATTTCGATATTTCATTGTATGATTAAAGAATACACTTAACAATTTTGTAATTAATTCCTAATTTAAACTTCTAAATTTTACAAAATATAGCTGGGATCGTTTAAGAACCAGTAAAACTATAAGATTTAAAGCTTAAACTATATAGATAAAGCATTGAGCCTCAAAACAGATTAACTTTTTGTCAGGTAATTCAATCAGTATTCTATATATTTACGCATAAAATGTACCTTGAGGTATTATTTAATCTATAAAATGAGTGTTTACGCATTAAATAGAATGCAGAATTTGTAAGATAAAATAAATATAGATGTTATAAAGGAATCAATTACTCATAAATATTCCTCACGCAAAATTGTATGAAAAAATTGACCTGTTTTTCTCGAAGCATTTCTATGGGGACATTCTATTTATATAAGCTAAGAGTCCAAGTAAAGTCTGTTAAATAGTATTATAAAAATAGTAAGTTTACATACATTAACAAGAATATTTATTTTCATTTTTATTTTTCATTTATTGTAAAAATAAAATAATGTTCTTTGGTTTAAAAAATACCTAAGTGCATTTTTGTATGATGACCAATAATTAATATATAAACATACAAATTTATTATACATATATAATAATTTATAATTTAAAATATTTTATTTTTCAGTTTTTTCCATATACAACAGACTTACGCCATGTTGTCTTATTTTTATTAAGTACTATTTTGCATGTACCGTAAAGAGTGTTCATGCCGAAGTGTAACAATTTTAAAATAAATCTTTTTATATAATCAATTATTTTAATATTGGTTATCAATTCATTTCAATTTATTCGCAACAATACTACATTGTGTTGAATATTTTTTTTAAGTACCAAGAAGATATCATAAAACAACTTTACAATAAAACAGAAAAAGTATGAAGCAACAAAATAATCAATAATAATTGTCCAAAAATTACAAAATTAACAAATGTCATTAGTAAGGCATAGTATACAGTACATATTACAATTGTTTGTTCACTCTATGTTATAAGGATTCGAGATCTAATGTTTTAAAATTCATCAATTGAGTAGATGCACCTTTTCAACAAAAGAGTATAATATTTTATTTTCAAAATTCTTCAATCTTCAATAGTTTTTAATGCATTGGGTAATTTATTATACAATTTAATCGTTTGAAATTTCGCGCCAAGTTTTATTATATTCAGTTTTGTTTGTATATCATGTGTAACATATTTTCGTTTAGAAATCATTTTTTGACAGACGATTTTTAACATAGTCTGTGACCACAGTCAATATATCATCTATTATGAAAACTTAAAAGGGGTGAATGAGAAACGAACATTAATAAAAACAATAGAGAATAGAAGATGCAAAATGCTGGGCCTTCTTATACGACATGACGATTTTTTAAAGAGCATAGATAGTAGAAGGAAAATAGAAAGTAAAAAAGGAAGGGGAAGACCGAGGAATAACTACATGGGACAGATAAAAGAAACACTAGGTGTCATGTCGTATAGGGAGGTCAAATATATGGCCTGAGATAGAGCTGGCTGGAAGAAGATGCATGAATTAATTGCACCGACAAGAGGAAACTCTTAAATGAAAAGAAAAAAAATATATTGATTATTTAAAAAGTACTTTGATAGTAGCACATGTAGTAGACATTTTAGGACCTACCTCATACTCTATTTCTGAAGTTTTCAAATACTTTTGCCATACTATTAAAGTTCAAATATCAGTGATAGCTAAAAATATTATTCCACGATTAAAGTTTCACTTCGCTATCAGAGCTCTTTTTCAATAGTCAATCGGAAATATTGAGAACTGTTTAATTGTTTTTGAATATTGACAGATAATTGACGTTGACATATTTTTGTAAGCTTCAGTATGAACTCTCTTACAATCCTCATCTGTATTTTTAGCGGTTATTACTCCATTTGTAGCTATTTTATTTTTAATATCTAATATTAAGCAGTGGCGTCATTATTGTTCACATCAATATTGCCATGTTTAAAATTTATTATTTTTTAGTATTATTGAGAATGTATTACTTATTATTGGTGAACATATTATTATAAACTGTTACTTAAGTAGAGTATCTGAGATTTTTAAATTTTTAATAAAATTAAATAAAAATAAATGATTGTTTCATTTTATTTATTCCACAATTCGCATACGTAAACTCTATAAAGTGTATTTTTTTCTATTAAATTTTAATGAATTAAGTATTAAAGTTAAGTAGTTACTAAAGGCAGAGTTTTTAATAATATCTCTCATAGGTCCTTATTTAAATTCAAATCGTTTTTGTTCATATAGACTTGTCTACAAGCGCTTTTAAATCTTATATATTAATTTTTATGAATAATATTACAATGCAATTGTAATATAATTCATAAAAATGAAAATTATATATATATATATATATACTTATAACTTACTCGCTTAATAATGAAGATAAAAACCGATTTTAATTGTGACAAAACCACTTATTTTAATCTAAAAATTGAAATACTGCACCGATTTTGTTAAAATTTCTATGGGAGCAATCTGTAAAGTCATATAATTGAGTGTATTGATCATGTAGAATTGTTATCTAATTAATAAATTAGTTCTTTAAAGACTCTTGTCTCTTGTATCAGAAGTGGGATATTTCTTACGTACACAATGAGAAATATTAAATATGCACGACTTTTCCGCTTCGTTTTAAGCCAGTCCGCCACTATCTAGGCATGTATTAGTGTTGACAGGGATATATATATATATATATTTTTTTTTTTTGATGAGTGAAAATGGTATGGTAACCCCGCCTGCGCTAACGGGATACGCTGGCGGAGCACCAGTGAAGGGTGATAGGTGAGGATGAAAACAGGCCAGTTAGCCCATCATGATGAATTCATCAGGAATTAACCATGATAGTTTCCAGGGGAAACCGCGTGGAGGTCGACCTGGTTGGGTATTTTGGTTGCAATGGGTTTCTCAGTCTCCATTACTAACACGCCCCCCCCCCCCCCCGGGATATATATTGAGTTTCATTAGCCGAATACTGATTTGGATTATTTCAAAAACAATGAATATATGATTATTCAATGATTGTATTAAAACATTGTTGAATAAAGTACTGTTAATACATCTCAATAGATTTCATATTTTGTTTTTCGGTTATTCCCCGACTCGCCAGCGTACGTAATTTTACATGTAGTTATCGATTAGGTCTAGAGATGTGCAAAAATAGCTATTTTAATATAGCTATGTGAAAAATAACAGTTTTTCGTAAAATTGGTAAGGTTTTCAAGTTGCAACGAGTAAGACTATTTGCTATTTCTGACGATTTATAAATCTTATAAGATATGTAAATGATGTACAATCAACAAATTAAATGAGTGGGTAATTAGTTGAAAGTATTGAGCAAAATTAAGCTGGAACTTCTAAAATTGTGTACCTCTCTCAATGTCTTTTATCATCTGTACCATGGGGAATATTTGGAAAAACTACATTCCCTTATTCCATCTTCCCCTCTCCGATATCGCAGCACGAGGGTGGACAAGCGGCTGCATCTCTACATGGTAAACGGCCCGCACTTGCAATAAATAGGTTTACAAACTCTTACGTGAACCGTACTTTAACACTGTGGAATAGACATCCTTGTGACATCTTTTCTTCATTCTATAGCCTCAGTACTTCAACTACATATATTTTATTCTTAAGCACTTAGTATGTCGGCACGGTGTGACTTACCGTTGAAATTAGAACATTACCTTTCCAGTTGATCGTATTCTTGGACCATATAGTCTCTGTGTTCATTCAGAATATCAACTATTACTACAGTGTAGTCACATGGCGTGCTATAATTAAAAAGAAATATACTATTAAAGGAACAAAATGTAAGTTCTTGTACATTAAATATTATGGGTATTACTAGGGAAAAAGGTATCATTGTGTTCTAGAAAGCAAAAGTTAAATTTTTATTTGACTTCAAAAAGTCTATTTACCAAAATGTCCGTTTTATTTTTTAAGTTTGCATGCCTCCAATTGAAATCAACAAGATCTACCTGTCCATAATTTATTTTAGAAAAAGTGCGATATATTTTACTTAAATATTTGGTGATCTGAACTTACTTTAATATTAGCCTAATAAATCACAAGGTTAAAGTTATGAACATAGTTTTAAAGTTAAAGAAATTATTATAAAGCTTATGTTGAAAATACAGTTATAACTGTTAAGAACAGAGTGACAAAATAACGATAATAAACGCTTTAACATTTATGTCGTTGGAGTGTACAAATCACTATTAGCAGTTATTAAAAGTCCCTTACATTTAATATATGATCGGAGTATATAAATAAGCAAGCTAGGAGCTACGTGCTTTTAAATTGAACTGAACCTGTGTACAACAAAGTGCAACAGAATTTCATTTGTGAAGAAGTGTAATAAATTACAATGGTAAGTTTCCCCCATAGCGCTTGAAGTGCCTATTTTATATAATTAAATACATTTATAAGGTAATTTAAAAATAATGCTTAAATATATTTGTACTACAAATAGTTTCGTACTACTGCCCCAAATTGAATTAAAAAAGTAAGAACGAATCGAGAAGCTTTTTTGAAGTTAGTTGAAATAGGGCTGACTAGACAAAAAGCAAGGGAGACGGTACGTCTTTATTTAAGTTCTAAACAACGAGATGCAGTTAAACAACCTTGAGCGTCTTTAAAATTTATTCCTTCGGGGTTTAAGTCAGGGGACTATGGAGACTATATGAGTTTCAAAACCTGTTGTTTTTTTTGATTTAAAAAGTCTTTGCATAGTCTTGACGTGTGTTTCAGATCATTATCCTGATGAAATATAAATCACGGAACAATTAAATGGATTCCACAAGGCACTGCTCCAATATCTTCTTGTAATTTCCTTTTTTTTTTAAGATTCCTCGTATTCGCACAAGATCTCCAACGGCGGAGCCACCAAAACAGCCCCAAACTATCACAGTCCTCCGTTGTATTTGACTGAAGTCCAGTACAAGCGTCATTCAACCTTTCGTTTGACCGGCGCCTTACGAAAACTCTTCGTTTGGTTCCAAAAATTTCAAATTTTCATTCGTCCTTCCAGAGGACCTTTTCCCAATCTGCTATTGTCCAATTCTTGCGTTCTCTCACCCAATTAAGTCTCTTCTTTTTTGTTAATAGGTTTAAGAAGTAATTTTAAGACCGCTATGCATCCCTTGAGCCTTGCATTACGGTCCATAACTGTCGATACACAGAATGCTTTATCACGATCCATATATATGTAACTGTGTTATTATTTCTAGTTTAGTTAATCGTCTATTTCGTTTGCTATTAATAACTATACTCAAATCTTCACTGGGAGTTGTGAGTTAAAAAAATGAAACTCAGAAACAAAAAGCGAAAAAATATTGGTATACTTTAAGTACTGAGCTATGGAAAGCGTGTTTTCTGGTCAAATGGTATCAGATAACTAACGTAAAAATATTTATTAGTAGTTATTTTATATTTTACTTGTATTTATTGCTCAGTTACTAAATCAAAACAAAATTGCTACTTCAAAGATTAATTTCGAAAAAATCCCGATAATATCATTATTATGGTGTTATAACCAGGAGTGGACAAATAACAACAAGCTTTTTCAGATTGTAATATACATAAGTATACAAACAATGAAATAAATGATCTCTTTAAAATTTATTGTTTGTAACTTAAACAAAATACAGGTAGCCAACTACTTTAGAACGCTTATGTATATTCATACGTATGCCTTTCTTATTTCAGTCCAAAAAA